TGAGCTAAATCCCCAGCCCCTCAGCCTCTAGAGTACTGGGATTACAGACCTTCACCACACCCAGCTTGAGTGTCAATCTTCACTATAGTAGTGCCTGCCCCAGAAAGATTACACACACAGGCGCGCGCGCACACGCACACACACACACACGCATACATACACACATGCGTCCACACACACCTTCTTCTTCCATGTCTCCTCTTCATTCTATGCTATGGCAGAGTTACCTCAAAGCTGGCAGAAAGACCCCACTCTTGGTTAGGAATGTGGCGGTCTGTGCCTTGTTGCCTGAGCCTCCTCCTCACCTTGGGAGCCAGCTGGGGTCTCTTTGCCAAGAAGCTCACAAGGGACAACACTTCTCAGCCAAGAAGCTGGGGCGTTCTGCTGTGTCCCTTAGGTGTTGAAATATGCTGGGGACTGGGAAAGGCAAGAAGGCATCGAGAGGAAAAATAATGAGGGTGTGTGTGGGGGTGTGAGGAGTTTCATCCAATTAAACCCCACAAGAGCCAAGGCCCCTTTCACACCCAGCCATAGGAGACACAAAAGCGGCAGAACAAACGTGGCGGTCTGGCCAGAAACATGTGGGACTCTCCAGACCCGCCGGCTCCCAGCTGGCCAAGGAGAGGGGACAATTATGAAAATTTCTCTCCTCCGCTCCAGTCTCTGGCTTTACAGCCCAGGTTAGGCACACAGAGAAAGCTTACAACCCCAGGGCAAGGCAGGACCCAGGCAGGCTGTGTGTGCCGTGAACACCTGTGGCATGACAGTGTTCCTGACATGCTCCGCCGTCCCCTACCTCTCTCCTCCCCTCAGCCCTGAGCCTGTGTGTGTGTTGGGGGTGGGGTGGGGTTCCAAATGAAATCCCTTCAGCTTGGGTGGCAGGAAAGCCTGGCCACCCTTTGTATCTTATCAATACACACTGGGCTCGCTGTCTGTGCCCGCCACTTTGTATATCCTAAAGTGGAGATCAGGGTTTGCACCACGCCACCCACACTCACTGACCTGGTCTTTTATGTGACATACATTTACCAAACAATCGTCCAGCCGCGGAAGGTCAGTCCATGACTGGGGAATAGAGAAAAAGGCGTCTTTGCTCCCCTTTCTGCTGCGCGAAGGCTCCCCCTCGCTGCCCCTGCCCCCCTTCAAGGTCTAGCTCGAGCCCGCATCCCTCACAAAGCCTTCCCTCCCTTCTCCAGCTGTTGCTGACCTCAGTGTCCCGGCCTCTGCTCTGAGGAGTACAATTAGCACCTGACCGGCCACTGGCCTGGCTGCTTGTCCTCGCCTCTGATTGTTTCAGTGTCTTAGTCATCTCTGGCCCACCACCTCCTTCCCTCGGCTGCCCCACAGCTCCTAGCGCAGGTTAGGCACACAGTAGGTGTTAATAAATGTCCGCTGAATTGAAACTCACCAACCCCTATGAGGTCAGAACCCTCATAAGCACCCGACCAGCAGTTTCTTGGCAACCAGTGCTGGGGCCCAAGCGGCTGGGCATTAGCAGCACAGCCACTATTACACGACACATGAGGCTCAGCAGCCAGAGATTTGCAGGCAGGTTGGTGTTGATGAGAAAAGCCCCTGGCCCCCAGGAAAGCACCCGTGGATTCTGGGTACCTCGCATGAGTTTCCTTTCTCCCCTGCAGACCTAGTTTTCAGTCTGAGAACCACAAAAGGAATAAATTGGCAGTGAAGCCAGAAACCTCTTTTCAGCTTAGAAATCCAGGGGTGATGACCAAAGCCGGGTTGGGGTCAGGCCCAGGCCTGAGGGCAGAAGGCTGACCGATGGGTTTTCTGACTCGGGGGACCCCATGGAGATGAAAAGGGCATGGCAAGTGTGAGGCTTGTCACGCCAGGGGGCTTTGAGGGTGACTCTTAGAGATGCCAGCCTGTCCTGACACCCCCAAAATCACATCCCGAATGCTTGGCACCTGCAGCCCATGCGCAAACCATTCTTCATTTCCGTGTCACTCACCCAAACCCTAGGGCAGGCTTGGGAGGCAGGCAGCATCCTGACCGGAACGCAGCCAGGGTCTCCAGGCAAGGAGAAGCCCGAGTCGGGGTTGACTGGCTCTTCATGCTGGCTCAAGGATTTAAGCCTGGCCTTAAATTCTGATTATTTATACAGATGACTTATCTGGTCTCCCCCGACCCCTGCACCACTGTGGCCTGCATAAGATGCACACAGTCCTGAAAGGCAGGTGGCATCTCCTTCACATCCGTATTTTCCCCTCTGCCACTTTGCTGGGGCCCAGTACTGGGACCGGCTCCCAGCAAATGTTTGCTGAGTTGAATCTGAGTTTTAGGCACTGCATTGGATAACATCATAATGCCAGTTCGGGTGTACTGTGTGCCACACACAGTTCTAATAAGCAGTTTATATGTAAAACTTTATGAAGTGGGTCTCCTTTGCTAGGCAAGGAAATTGAGGAGTATGATTGGGAGCACACAGCTGGTAAAAGACAAAGCTGGGAGTTTCACCCAGCCATGCTCTAGGATGCGAGGTAAATAAGAAAGTTAGGGGTCATGCTGGTATAGAGAAGACCAAGGCCAGGCTCAGGAGCAGAGGTCCCCCTGCAGAAGCAATAGCCTCAGCCAGTGACTGGGCGGGCCTCTCCAGGACAAAAGCCTCGAGCTTTGCAGAATTAGGCGCGTTTTGAACATACTATCAATCAGGCCCATGACAGACAGCCCAAAGCACCCTCATTTTTAGATCCCAATATATGTGCCACCGCTCAGCACCAGAGGTGGAGGGTGGATCTGGCCCCTGGCTTGTCCAGGGGTGGGCGCCAGTTCCTGAGTAACCACCGAGCAAACAGTGCAGCAGAGGGAGAAATGCCAGACATAGTTGCAAACAAGCCACTCCTTCGGCTCACAGCAAGAGGCTGGGTGAGGGTGGCAACGTGGAGCCTGCTTCATGCTTCCCCGCAACAAGGGTTCCCAGGCTTTGAAGCCAGCCCCAGAGATAACCACATGCAAGGCAGCCTCTTGCCCCACACAGGCCCCCAGCTGCTCCAGATCTTCTTCACACAACTGCAGATCACTCTTGCTAGGCTGCTTCTGCAGTGTGTGCAGTGAACTAATGGTTGATGAAACATTTTATAACTAGGAAAACCTTGTGGAGCTAACTACAAGAAGAGATTGGCATTCTTGCTGGGTATACGTGTTCACTGCGCATTTTCAGTGCCAAAGCTAGATGAGTTCCCTTTACCTCTCCAACCTGGCATTCAGGCCTGGGGTCAGTTCACAAGGGTTGAGTCCCCAGTGGGTGTGCCCACCAGCTGGTGGGGCCAGCAGTGGTGGCTCAGGCCCTGGGGTGGTGACCTCACTTCCGCTCTGACCTTCCCACCTCCTCAGCACTCCTCCCATTTGAGGCCCCACCAGGCCAAAATCGAGAAGTCCAAGGTTAACTGTTCCTCCCCACTTTAAGAGCTAATTAAAATGATTAGCTACAGTGAACTGTCAAACATTAACCAGAAGAAGCTGCAGGACCAGACAAGCCTCTATCTTGGGCAGAGGGATGAGGGGCAGGAATGAAAGGGCCATCAAATCCCTCAGCTGCTGCTGGTGGAGCACCTAGGAGAATCTCACTGCACCGCCAAAGTGCCAAGGGGTCAGGAGGTGACTCTAGTCAGGAAGGCCTAGTCGCAGCCATACAGTTGCAAGCAGAGAGTAGCAGGGTTAGGGTGCGGTGGGAAGAGGCCAGAAATCCGTAAAGTGGTTGCCTCCTGGGCAGCCCCCAAGCATCCAAAGCAAGGCGCTGGCGTCACGGGGCCCCGCGCTGTGCAGCTGCTGAGTCCCCTGGGTGGTGGCAGGGGAGAGAACAGAGAGGCGGGAGAATCGGGAAAAGCGGGAACCCAGAGCTGGAAGACTGGCCGCCCCGCACATAAGGAAACTGCACTCTGCCAAGAGGTCTCTATTTGGGCGATTCAGTTCTCCAAGTCATAGGTTTCTGCGCATGTGTATGTGTGACCCTAAAGCACCTGGCCCCAGAAGCCCTAGGAGCCGCCCGATCAATCTAGCGGCCTCGCCACAGTCAGCCCAACCTCCTGCCCTCAGGCGCTGAGCTTTTGGGGCCCCGCTGTCATGATCCGCCCTGTCACGGAAACCAGGCTGCTCCGGCACAGAAAAACTGGCCCTCGATCCCGACTCAGAAAATCGACTGCATTTCTACCCCGGGATCAGGAGCCCGGGTTCCCCAACATGCACGCGGTGGGGCGAGGCCAGGGCGGCCCGCCACACGCGGCGGCTCTCCTACCCTTCCCGGGGCCCCAGCCCGACTCTGGGGTCCCGGCGCCCTTGATCCCGCCCTGAGGCAAACTTTCTGAGGTCTCCGAAGCCTCAGAGACTCGGCGCCATCGACGTACCTGAGGCCGAGTGTCTTAAGGGCCACCCCTAACTGCCGGGTCAGGCTTGGTCACCGTGGTCGCGTCCCCGTTCCAGAGGCTGAGACGCCGGTCCCCAGCCTCGCCAGCCCGCCTTCTCCCCTCGGAAGCTGGGCTGGGCAAGTGGCGCCGCAGCTCGGCGCCGGCGAAAGCAGAAGTGGAAGTTGAGCGCGGTGCCGGGTCGGTCCCCGCGGCGGCCAGGGCCGCGGTCCCCCTCCCGCCCTACCTCCCTCTTTCCTCCCGGCCGTGACTCACCTCGGCGCCGGGGCAGGCTGGTCCGGGCGGGCGAGGCGCAGGGCTCTCCCACACGTCGCGCCGCCAATGGCAAGTTGGAGGGCGAGATGCAAATACCAGGTGAGACGGCGGCGCCCCTGATAAAAGGAGTCGGGGGGCGGGGTGGGGCGCCCGGGGGACAGGGTGGACGCGGGGGAGGGCCGGGCTGGGAAGCGGAGAGGGCGACGGGGTCGCCGCCCGGGGAAGGGGCGCGAGTCAGCGGAGACTGCGCCAAGACGACCGAACGAAAGGGGAAACTGCACTAGAGACACACGTCCCCGCAGCCGGCGGCTGGGGCGGGTGCGAAGGAGGCAGGGCGGGAGGGAGGGAAGAGCCGGAGGGAGGGACCGACGGGAGGGACCGCGGGCGGGCGGGGTGGAGGAGGGAAGGAGGGAGGGACGAGGCATCTCGGTGGAAACAGCGCCCCTCCGCCCGCGGGCCGCCGCGGTCGCCAGCACGGCAGGGGGAACAGTGCCAGGGGCCCGCGCGGCCTCTTTCCCCTAGCAGCACGCTTGCCTCGGGGACAGCGAGGGCAGGGCTCCTGCAGAGCCCTCTCAGGGCGACTCTGCCCAGGCCAGCGGCCCTGGCCTGACTCCGCTCACAGTTGGGGTCCCCAGGGTCCTCACCTCTTAGAGCGCCCTCCCCAGGGGCGAAAAGCCCTCACCCAGTGTCCCGCAGAGAAATCCATTAGTGGGGGACTCCAGCAGACTGAGTCCAGCCACTTCGGCCTGTGCACTCCGCTGCTTGACGCCTCTGGCCCTGTTCTGCACAATAAGAGGCAGGGGCAGCAATAGGAGAGGCCAGGAGATCCCCGGAGGACACAATGTGGGAAGAACGCGTCCAACGCCCCTGCGGAGGCCCAAACCAAATACATCTTCAGGCTGGCATGATTGGAGTTTCATGCACTCCTAGGTGGAAGAGGCCAGGAGTATAGGAATCAGGGCAGGTGCGGGGTGTGGCGGGGAGGGCAAACACAGAAGGTGCAAAAGCAACCAGATTTGGGGCGCTGGGACAAAGGCAGGCTCGTTCCTCTCCCATCCAAAGCCAAGCTGCTTTCCATAAGGAGCCCACCCCAAGGGTCTCCATTCTGTGTCCTCTTTGCTTCTCCTCTGGCCTGTCTCAGCATCCATACCAGCTCCCACCTGGCGCTGCAGCTAGGAGGTTCCTGGAGAGTCTGCTGCAAACTGTTACTCTTTCCAGCTCTCCGTGGTCCAGAGGAGGCACCCAGCCAGGCCTTGGCCTTGCTAGAAAGCAATTGCAGGGGCCATGGGAGACAGAGGGACCTTGGGGAAAGGTGGAGGTGGTGGAGGGGCCTACTCTCTTGGCCTTGGGAAAGACCATCTTTGGCACAGGCGTGGGGATAGGAGTGGCAGTGAATGACATCTGCGAAGGCATCTGCAGATTGCAGGTTGGCAGGGAAAGTGCTAGTGGCTGGACTGGGGCACTGGCCCTTGAGACTGCCTGCCTACCAATAGCCAAATCCCTTCAACAAGCACCAAGAGAAATTTTCTACATTTTCTTTTCTAAGTGGATATGCTTTCCTCAGGAGATTGCAGATCCTGGAGACACACAGTTCTGAGCGGGCCTCTTGCCTGTGAGGCTCCCATTTCAAGTGTGTGGTAGGTCTCAGAGCTCCCTAAGCTGCTCTTCCCTTGACCTTGAAACTCAGTAAGCGACACACACACACACACTTTTCCATTTTGCTAAGAGTTTAATGATCTCTAAGGACAGGACTGGGTTCCTGTTCTAGCTCCACCTTGTACCAGGAAAGTGACTTTGGCCAAGTCACTTAAACCTTCCAACGCTCACTTTCCTTATTTAGAAATTGGGCATAGGGACTGGGGATATAACTCAGCGGCACAAGCGCCTCCCTGGCAAGCACAAGGTCCTGAGTTCGATTCCCAGTACCTTAAAAGAAAATTGGGGCTAATAAGAACCTCCCTCCTGGACCGGGGATATAGCTCAGTGGCATAAGCGCCTACCTGGCAAGCGCAAGGTCCTGAGTTCGATTCCTGGTAGCCCCCCCAAAACAAACCCTCCCTCCTGAGGCTGTGTTGAGGGCTGAATAAGACAGCCTACATCTATGACAGTGCCTAGTGCCTCTCAAGCCTTCGATAATATTAACTATCTTCAGCTGCATCATCTTCACCTTCATCTTGTTTTCTCAGCCCAGCTCTCAGAAGCAAACTCAGCAGGGACAGAGCAGACAGAAGCGCTGAGGACTCACGGTGGATCCCTCCTGTAAGTGTGTGTGGTGGAAACCAAGGCTGAAGACTCAAGGCAGCATCTGAGGCCAAGTCTTGCTCTTGGGAAGAGCAAAGAGGTTCCTACTGCAGACCAAGTCACGGTGACCTGCATGCAGCCCATGGCTCGTGGGAACCCCGTGCATTCCCACCTTTCCCAGGCACTCTGAACAGACAACAGCACCGTGATCAGGTAGTCATAGGAAACATTGCTCCCCTTTGTGAAAATCTTGTGTTGCCCTCACCTTGGGAAGTCATGAGACCGACCTTCCTGTCTGCCTTTGCCCGTGACCTTGCTGCTCCACTGCCGGCTGGGCCTTCCCCACCTGGCTCCCCACTTACCTATTGGGTGAGCCCCAGCCAGGTGGGGCCAGCCAGGCTGAGATCACCACTGTCCTGAGGACAGCCACACTGTCTCTGCCAATGTCTCATCCTCTGACTTGGTAGGAATTCCCCTTCTCGAGTTGCCTGTGGATGCCGAGGCTGTGCCACCCTCCAGGGTAATCTCAGCCCCTCTCCTTCCTCCGTGTTACCTCACTGTCCAGCCACAGCTGGCTGCTTTCAGGCCTCAGAACCTGGACCCCACCGGGAGCAGAGGGAGCTCCCAGCTGCCCACAGCCTGCATGGGACCACCTCCCAAAGTATGCGTTCAACTTGCCTGCCCACCTTGACAACTCTCCAAGCTGAGCACCCCTGCCTCTTCCAAGCAGTGCCTGAGAGCCCATGATCTTCTGCAGATCACCCCGAATTCTCTGGAGACAGGATGGCTGGTTACTTCCCTTGTCACTTAACACTTTGGCCTCAACAAATCCTTTTTTAAAAAAATCAGGATCTCACTATGTAGTTCAGGCTGGCCTTGAACTTACTATGTAGCCCAGGCTGGCCTCGAACTCACAGTGACTCTCCTGCCTCAGCCTTCTAACTGCTGAGATTACAGGCATGTGCCACCACACCCAGCTAGCCTCAACAAATTCTATTCAAACCTGTGGCCAGAATACCACAACGCCACAGCTTCTGTAACCCTGACTTTCCACCACTGACATATGCAAGAAAAGTTGCCAATTGATCAGACCTTTGGAAGGAGTAGCATATTCGAAAGCCCAAAGAGAAGTTATGGTTTCAAAGGATCCTCTTCACTGGAAAGCTAAGAAGTTCCCATGACCCTTTCTGTAAAACCAGCCATCATTCTTCTGTTGTGTTCAGTAAACCGAGATTTGCTTTTGTTGGGCTTACCAGAGAAGGGCCTGGGTATCCCAAAAAAACAGACAGAAATCCTGATGTCCCGGGCTGTGGCTTGTTAGCATAAGCAGTATTTCATTCTTTTTTTTTTTTTTTTTTTTGTATTGGAGTCGAACTCAGGACCTTGTGCAGCAGTGTTTTACTGAGTAGCTGAAAAATAGAGTTCCCTGGGATAGGTTATACCGAAGTTCCCAGATGACAGGATGACAGGTCACTGCTCTGGCCCATGTTAGAGGTAGGGTTGCACCCAGGCTAAAGCACAGGCAGGCAGATGAGGGGATGGAGTTGGTAAGCGGCTTCCAAAATCATGATTTTCATTGGCCTGGTCACCTTCCTTGGTTGGAAAGAATGCCTGACTAGGGCTTTTAGAAAGCCACTTGGTCCTCCCAGCCCACCCTACTAAGGACGTAATTTGAGTTTTTGAGACAGGATCTCACTATGTAGTCAGGCTGGCTTTGAACTCACTATCCCTGCTGTCCTTGTGGCTCCTGCCTCAGCCTCCCAAGTGCCAGGATTACAGGGGTGCACGACTACACCTGGCCCCTACCCAGTTTTCAGTGATTATGATGAAAAATTCTACATTTGCCCACCAGACAGGCCTGGGCACAAAAGAGCACCCACGAAACTTCAGGGGAATGCCGGATCTCACTTCTTGGTAGGCTGGACAGCGGCTCAGGGAGGCTGTCTGGAGGACACAACAGTCCGGCGGGAGATGCTACTCGCCTGAACTCGCACTCAGCATGTCAGCTCTGAGCACAGTGGCTGCTGGGCAGTGCTGTCCCCGTCACATCTGCAGCCAGGAGTAGGGTTGGTGTTTGGAAAACAGATTCAGTGCCTTTTGTGGTCCTGGGATGGTGGGAGATTGGAGAAGTAAGAAGACCCAAGCCTGTGGTTTATTTGGAAAAAAAAAAAAGTTGAAATCGCCCATGGCAGAGTTCAGCAAGTCCCCTGGGGTCTCTAATCCCACTGGTCCCCACTCCTATCTTGGAGCCAGAACCCAGCCAGTTGATGTCTCCAGGGCCAGGCACAGGAGCAGGCACTTGCACTGGGCACCTACCGAGGGCAGTGCAGCAATTCAAGGGCTTGGGGCCCTTGTCCAGTAGAGCCAGATTTAACCCCTCAGCCCTCAGCATCCGTTGGCCCCGATCCTGCCATGTGTCATGCTTTTGATTTCTGCTGTCCTCAGAGTGAAGCCAAGGAGGCTGGGTCTCAGCTGACCTGCCCGCAGCCTGGTGCAGCTGCAGCACGATAGCGCCACATGGACGCTTCACCCCGGGAGCACCAAGTGATTCCTGCATAGCCTGAGTGATCTGGGGAACAGGGACGTGAGCAGCCATCAAGCTGCTGTTCCCTCCTCAGACAGAGAAGAGACCGCGAGGAGAAGAGGAGGCGCTAGTCGCGTATGGCGCACTTTACATTTTATAAGGGAATGGTGCACCCTGCAGTTGTGCAGGGAGACTTGAAGAGGGAGCTGGAGTAGGAGGGAGCTCAGGAAGGGCTCAGACATGGCTCCTGGGCGCAGCCATCTGGTTCAGGGGATGGAGGGCATGGCGGGCTCATGAGACCCCATTTAGCATCTTGCTGAGGAGCAAGCCCAGGCTGAGGGCTGTACCAGGAGATGGATGACCCTGCTCTCTGGGGATTGCCCCATCCCACAGGGAAGCAAGGGCATGACTGAGACACTGTAAGACAGAGGCATAGCTGAGGCCAACAGGAAGTCAGCCGCTCCTCAGTTTCCCCACCCTGTCCTCACGTCACGGGATGAGGGTTATTGTTGTTGTTTAATGCAGCAAAATACAACATTTAATGTCTATAAAGGTGCAGCATGAGTCATTTCACGGAATGTCTAGGCCCCTTTTGCTGGCAGCAAACAAACTTTCCAGCCCTCTTTTGAGGAAGCTATCCAGCTCAGCGGCGGCTGCTGCTGCTGGCCTGCGCGAGCCAGTGTGAGTGTGCTTATGGGCTGTGTGTGGCATGCGTCTCTGCCAGGGCCTTGCCTGTCTGTATGTGCATCTGTGCGGGTCTTGAAGCCGTGAGTGAAGGTGTGACCATCGTTGAGGGTGTGCATGTGTGGGCCCAAGTCTTGTATTGAGTGTTGAGTCCCCTTGCGGGTGTGTGTTTGTGGAGGGCGGTCTCCAAGGCGGTGGAGTGTGTGAGCCTGTGTGTCTGAGGGTGACTACGTGTACATTTTTTCCTCATCACTGCCAAATTGTCTTCCCATCGCTCCCCTTATGAAATAAAGGGCTGACTGAAGGGAGCTGCCTGTCCAAGGGGGGGAGGCTGGAGGGAAACCAAAGCAATTCCACTTGTTGGAGGAAAGTGTCAGCCAAGGATGAAACTGAAACCGAGGCAGCAGCTCCAGAGAATGCACACGCACCCTGAGACGTCCCGGGGCCTCGGTTCCTCCCACTCCCCCGCCCCCTCCAGCCACAGTGTGATTAGTCAGTCTGAAATTCCCATCCCTGCAGCCTGGACTTGGGGTTGAGGCAGTGATGTTCGGCTAGAACTCTGCCCGTGGTTAGCATGTGACCCCATTAGCATCCATTATCATAGTAACACAAATTAGTATACCAGATCTCCCTGTCACCTAGTAAAGGTGCAGGGCCAGGCTGGAGGGAGAGGTCCCAGCTTAGGCCCTGCTCAGCCCAGTGGCATCACAAGGGGGAGCAGGTTGAGGACTTGGGGTCAGCTTGGGAGGAGAAAGGAGGCAGCGAGCATTAAGCTTTGCCAATATGATCTTTTCTATCAGTTGTGCTCTGGGGGACACCCTGAGGGGGAAGGTAGTGAAAAGAGGGTTTTCCAGCTGGGCATCCCCTGCTCCCAGGTCAGCGGGAGACATACTATATTTCTCCTGGCACAGTGAAACTTGGGAATGTTTAAGATCCTTTGGGGTTTTTTTCTCTTTCTTTTCTTTCTTTCTTTCTTTCTTTCTTTCTTTCTTTCTTTCTTTCTTTCTTTCTTTTTTGAGTCAAGGTCTCACTATGTAGTTCAGGCTGCTCTTGAGCTCACTGTGTAGCCCAACCTGGTCTCAAACTATAGAGATCCTCCTGCCTCAGTCTCCCAAGTGCTACGATTACAGGCTTGTGCCACCATGCCCGGCTTCCCTTTCTTCTTTATGGAACATCTTTCTATAACTTTCTCAGATGACTCTAGACATCCTAAAAATGGGAGAGCTAGAGGGATTGACAGGGAAGAAGAGGCCCCCGAAACAGCAAGATGGGGTCGGCTTACTTCTTGACACAGAAGAGAGAGGCTCACAGTGTGCACGTATTTTATCTGCAAAGCTGTATCATGGACATGGCCACCGTGGCCTCTGGAGAGGATGGGGCTGGCGCCTCCAGCTGTTTTCCCCCTCAGCTGGAAGGTGTCTGGCCACAGGTTATTTTTGCAAGCCCTGCTAGACTCGATCTGTTTACAGTCACCACATAACCATGAACTGCTATCGGAGGTCCTGGGCCGCATCGTGACTTCTGGAGCTCAGGGCGTGCAAGGAGTTAGGGCACAGACGTTCTTCTATGGAGACGAAGGTTGCAAGCTCGATCCCCAGCTAGGCCTCTTAGCTCCGTTTTTTTTTTTGTTGTTTTTTTTCAGTATATAGAAGCAGAAGGCTGGAAGACTGGAAGACTGGAAGACTGGACTGACAAGCACCGAACGCCTAAGCATTGCCCTAGATCCAGCCTGAGGATAAACCCTTGACCCTCGTTAGGCTGAGCCTGGTCCCAGACCGAGCCCCAGCCCTGGCCACAGTCTGCAGCTCTGTGGTAGAGGTGCATTCTTGGTCTCGAGGGAACCAGGGTGGAGAGTGACTGCTCAGGGAAACCCACCCCCTGCGCCTGAGACGCGACTCAGAGTTTCCATTCTAGTGCCGGCGGTCAAGAGCACCGGCTTGCAAAGGCGGCCCTGAAACCTCAGTCCCTTTGCTGAAGTGTAGAGCGGCCCCCCGCTCTGCGGCCCGGGAGGCGGCCCGCGGGACTACGACCGAGCACGCAGGAGCCAGCCCTTCGCCAGGGGCGCTCGCGCCGCAGGGCGGTTCTCCTGACGCGATCAGCTCCATCTCTGGAGTCCCAGTGGCCCGCCCGAGGCCAGCGGGGTCTCTGGCGGCCCTCATGCCTTTTCCACACCAGCCCCTCTCTGAGCCAGCTCGCCGCCCCAGTCCAGGTTCCCCGGCGGGGCTGAGCTCCCCCACCCTCCCCGCAGCGCGCTGGGCGCCTCTGCCGCGCCATCTACAGGCGGCGCGCGGCGCAGCGCGGCGTCTCGGGCTGCTGCCGCTGTGACTGTGGCGGCGGCGGGAACTAGACTCCCAGATGGAGGAGGAGGAAGAGAGGCCGGCTCCTCTGCCCAGAGATTTGCCGGCTGGCGCAAGGTCTCCCCTTGCCGCCCCAGCCCCAAGCCGCCTGGCCATCGTAGCCCAGCCCAGAGCCTGTCCCGCACTCTGCCACGCGCAAGCGGCCGGTGCTCTGACCTCTCACTCCCGCTGCTGCACTCTGGGCCGCCTCCTGCCCGGGGCGCCTCTTCTCGGGAAGCGGTGAAGTCACCCTGGGCCAGATCCGCTGACTCACGAGAATGAGAATCCTGGCCCCTGCCCGGCACACTTCTTGAAACTTCCCCTCAGCCCCGCCCCTCGCACCCCCGGTCCTGTCCCGTCCGGGCGGGCGGGCGGGCAAGGGCGGCTCTGGGCTCCGGGGAAGGGTTCCTTGTGGCAGCTGGCATGGATGTGTCGGGTGGGGAGACCTCTGCGCTTCGGTTCCCGCCGCACCACTCAAGAAGAACCATGGGAGGAACCATGGGAAGACCACAGGGAATGGCAGGGAGGGAGCCGCAGCTTTGCAGCTTCTCCCGAAGCCCGTCTTCCAATTAGCCACTCCACGCAGGAAGCGCCTGCTGAGGCAGGGCGGCCGCGGACCCCCTGCTCCCGCAGCGCCTCAGGACTGAGCGACCGTTCACTCGAAGCTGAGGCCTCTTCCTTGTAATCTCCTTTTCCAGGGAGCAGGCGAGCAACGGCTCGCCTGAGTGGGGAGAGGACCCTGCCAAACACCAAGTGTGGAGGCCTCTGAGCTTTGAGTTATCCTGGACCCCGGGCTTATGTCAAGCTGATGGCCTGACCGGGCACTGTGGCTCTTCCTCCTGCCACCAGTTCAGGTTTGCGTGGGGGTGTTTTTGAGGCAGTTTCCACCCCCAGCCCCGTGTGTCTAGTTTAAGGGCAAAGGAGGGGAAAGATGACCAACTCGTCTCATCACGGGGGTGGGTGATTGCCCGGAATGGTAGTTTCCACAAGGCGCTGAGGGCCTCTGAAACACCTGAAGCTCTCCTTTCCTTCCAGAGGTGCGTGGTCCTTAAGCATCCTCCTCCGCCCAGCCTATCATTGTGCTGACAGTCATTCTTGTCCTGAACGCAGCTTCCTATCGTCCCTATGCTAACAGCTGGTACATTTGAAAAGGCCAGGGACTGGGGTGTGTGTGGGATAAGCACTAGGCTTGGGGCTTACATGGCACCACGAAGTTTTCTGAGCTCCTCATTCGTTTGTTCATTGCTGCAGAGCTGGGAATCAGATCTGAGCTCCTATCTTGGCAGCAAGTTGAGAGCTGCCCCGGGTTACCGTGATTGTACATCCACCAGCTCTGCAGAGTGTCTCCTGGGGACTAGAGCTATGAAATGGCTCAGTGGGAATGTATACTGTAGGGTTGTAGGAGTGTGGGAATGTATACTGTAGGAGTGTGGCTGAGAAGAGTCAGACTGTAAAGGCTTCATGGGGAAATTCTGGGTTTGAAGCCAAACTTTAGGGGCTGAAAGATGCCCCTACGAAAAACTCTGAACGGAAGGAAAAAAGGCAAGGTATGATTTCTAGTGTTCCTAGGTCGAGATATAACTTTCTAGGTCAAAGAAGAATCACAAGCCATAAGCTAGGGAAGAAAATACCCAAAATAAAAAACAATAAATTTGTAAATGTGGTTGAAGCAAAGGAGCAGCAGAGTCATGGTGGGGAGATATTTGCCAAGGGCTTTGCGTTCCATTAGCATCTACTCTAGGCCCTAGAGGGGACCAGCCCTGGAGGTCATGGACAGATGAAACACCCGAGCGACTTTTCCATACACAGGAGGTTGGGGCTCAAGGTGGAGGATGATCCAGCCCAGTGATGGCAAACCTTTTAGAGCTTTCAGTGATAACAAACAGCCCACTGTGGCACGCGTGCCATAGGTTTGCCACCACTGTCTGGTTCCCCTCATTCACCAGGCCTTGCAAAGCGGCTGCCCAAGTCCATGAAGGTAGTGGTTGATAGTGCCAGGACTCTAATTGAGAAGAGTGCTCGTTCCATTGTGCTGCATGCTTGCGGGAAGCATACGGGCAGGGAGTCCTTCCTGGAACCTTAGCAAGAAGCACAGGGAGAAGGAAAACCAGGGGGAAGACAGCAGAGTTTCGGCAGGGAAGGTGCAAGAAAAAGAGGGTAAGAGGCCTGAGGAAAAGTGAACAGAGATGTGTGATCTCTCTGGGCAGAAGGACTGCTCTTCCTGTTGTGTTCCTAGGAATGACAGAAGATGCAGCCAGAAAAATGAGGAAGAGCCACGGTCAGGTCGCTGAGAAAAGCTTGGGTACATAGAAGCAGGACAAGAAAACAATCTGAGGACCACCAGCTTCCCACTGGAACTCACATATCATTCTCCCAGCACTTACACTGCATTAAAAGTGCCCATGGGTCACCAGGTTATAAAGGCACTGAAGGCAGGGACTATACTTTACTCATCTCCTTATCTCCAGGGCTTAGCACCATCCCATGGCAAGCAGTAGTTGTCAGAAAGTGTTTGTTAGCAAACGGTCTTTAAGCAAATACGTTTATGCACATATTTCTAAGTTCAACACCTATACCTGGTGCTCCTCAAGAAGCACCTCTGTGTTGCAGTGTCAGT